CTTCAGACCTAGGTTGATTAGGTTCTCCCTTAGCTCATGGCAAAATTGTACGAAAACATAACAGTAACAGATAGGTTTACTATTACAGGTAGTGAGTGAGTGAGTTTGGTTTAACACTTTTCAGCTTAACCTTTTGTGGCATTTTTTGTTTTACTTCCAATCATCTCAGCGAGAGCAATGGTTGCTGAAGATAAGAAAGCGAAATACAGACCTTTTATTCCGAATAGAGACATGTGGGTTCATATACTGATACGTTTGGCCGTTATCCACAGTAACCATATTGCTGGGAGCTCGTATACAGCGGGAGAACAACTTGAGTGAGTGAGTGAATTTGGTTAAGGCCGTTTTGAACAGCATTCCAGTTAGAACAGCGTGTCAGTTTAATCTGGGAGGAAAGCCAGAAATGATGCAGGTCGCTGAATGTACCACTTTAGTAAAACGCACCAGGTGAGGTGAAGTGGAGGTAACGTCGTGTTCAAGAATATTGCACTTGAAATCAATATCATCACCTGCACAACAGCGGAGCAGGTTGAATTTGATAGCACTTGCATACATCATCCCTTTATCAATGTCGATCCTAGTTGCATTTCAAACTGAAGTTAAAATGCGATAAAACATGTTTCTTTTCTTCACCTACTCATCCAACACATAGTTAGATCACCTTATGGCAATAGGTGCATGTTATACAACGTTACAGCTTGCGAGTCTCTCTATGTGCACCGCTATTTTCTGCTGGAAGGATCTTAAACAACTGAGGGAAGATACCGATGTGTTTGTGAAGACGGTATAATTAAAATTAAAACCATACCTACTTGTAGAAACGATGCTTGAGTAAATCACGAAAATAACTCTTAACAGATACAACTACTGGTACGGGTTAGTATTGGTATTATAATCATGGCTGCTACAGTAATAGCGGACTTCACAGATTGTACCCATCACAGGAGTTGAGCCAGGGTCTTCCCAATAACCACTTACCAGCCTTTTGTTTAATGATTTAGAGGAACTCCGTTTAAGCCAATGTCCTTTAAGACACGTGTAGGATTTGTTGGTTTGTTTTTTGTTTAACGCCGCATTCAGCAATATTCCCGCTATATGACGGCGGTCTGTAAATAATCAAGTCTGTACCAGACAATACAGTGATTGGCAACATGAGCATCAGTCCACGCAATGGGGATACGATGACATGCATCAACCAAGTCAGCGAGCCTGACCACCCGATCCCGTTAATCGCCTATTACGACAAGCATCGTCGTATTTTACGGCTAGCATGGGTTGCTGAAGACCTATTCTTCCCTGGAACTTCACGGGTCTGTTCGTGTAGGAGCAACAGTTATATATGTAGAAAGGTTCATAGAATACCACATTACATCCATACTGCGAAGTCCGAACGATTCAAAAGCGACAAAAAACATGTTTATGAATTACTATCAAACAGTGATGAAACCAGGTATTCACGAAAAGGTGGTCGTATCCTGCCTCACCGTTTGCACCGTCACAAACACAGACAACTGTTCACCTGAAAAAACGGGAACATGCGGCACAAGTCAAACTAGCGATTTGTATCGGATTTCAGTTTGGTAACCATTTGAACAGCATTAAGGAACGTTCAACACATGTAAGTAAACTTTCGATCTTATTTCACTGTGTGTCAACTTGACGTGGGGGGGGGGGGGGGTGAAGGTCTTAGACATTCTATCACCTGAGTTAAACCCTAGATTCATAATCAGCAAGAATTTAGCATCCGAATACTGTATACAGGATCCAAAAATCATAGGATGTTGGCTCACCAAAGGGACGCAAGTCGTCTCAGCGACTTATCCACCAGTCGTCTATCTCAAGGTCACAACTCAGTGGTTTGTTCGGCAGACTAATCTGTTAATCTGGACCAGTTTAACCGGTCACAATACGGATAACGAGGTATCACTGTATGCTGGTGTATTTCCTCGTCTACAGCTCAGGGTGGTGTATGCACGTCGTGGCTAGTTCATGTATGGATATGTTATACTGAACATTGTAAGCCATTAGTATAATGGCACCCTCGCTACGACTTACCGGCGTCTGTTGTCCTTAATTGAGGCCCAAAACATGTATACTTAACTCCTTTAAGCATCAAATTCCACAAAAATAACCCCCTTTTATAATGAAGTAACTCAGTCACAAATGTTCTCTCAATCTGGCCATATTTTTACACAATCGAAAGATTGCGACTTGAGAAAGACAGAGTCCTCAAACCAACAGGAGCAGAGTTCAGCCAGCGAAATGTACACAATCACAGAAAGTTATGCTCGGTCACTGTTTGGAACTACTAATGTCAATAACAACCTTACTGTACGCAAGCACTGAGCATGCACACGCGTTACTTTCTAATCGAAAAGTTCATTTTTAGAGAATGACGGCAGCGGGTGGGTTAGGACGTGAGTTCTGCATGATTATCATTTAACTACTCTTCACCTATCGGATAAGCTGGCTTTCTATTTATGTTTCGGAACTATACTCATCCAAGGGCTGAAGGATGTGTCCCTGAAGGTGGCTGTACTGTCTCCGTTGGTATCACTTCGGTTTGCTGTGGGACACAAGCTGGGCCTCTTTCAGTGAGGGCGGAATAAAGACGGACAACGCATTGTTGAAGCGCTTCTGCCACCCCTGTACGTGTGCGCCATTGTTGATGGTCTTCCTGAAGACAGCCGAGCCAGGTTTCCACGTCCCACGTCTCAAGTATCCAACCATGTTGACTGGATGTATTGGCAGAGAGTTGAAACTGTGTCACCGGGTGCTTTTTCTCGCAGCGTGGCGAAACATGACTGTCTGCGTCATGAGTAGTTTTCTTACTGTCAGGTGAAATAGGGTTGCACTTATATAAAGGGATATGATGACATGCATCAACCAAGTCAGCGAGCCCGACCACCCGATCCCGTTAGTCGCCTCCGCATGGGTGCTGAAGACCTATTCTACCCTGGATCCGATTCTATACTGCTAGCCCTGGGATACCAATCCGCAGTTTAACACGAATACCGGTATACGCAGTGTTTTGACTCCCAGTCGATCAGTCCTTGTTTTAGCCACTTAATGCTGAGCACCAGGCAGGGTAACAACACGTACAATATTTTAACGTCTTTTGGTGTGACGCGGCCGAGAATTGAATCCCGGACCTTCCGATCACGGGGCAGACGCTCTACCGCTAGCCCAAGGAGGCGGTCCGAGTTTTCTTACGATTTTGCACGGCCCTTCCTTCAAATAGTGCAACGCCTGCATTCCCAGTTGTTGGAACATTCTGAACTCTGCCTGGGTCCAAAATCATCAGTGAAAAAACTGATTTTGACTTGCACTATATATCCCAGTGTTTTTCAAGTGAAGAATTAACTTGCCTCTGCATGTGTTTGTGACAGGTGCGACCAGTGGATCAGGATACACTCACCTTTTCTCGAACGCCTGGTGTCATCACTATTTGATAGGGATTTATACACACATACTTATGATACAGTCGACCCTGCTGGTCTTTTAGTAGAGATTTCTTATATTTATGTAAATGTTCTGGTCACTTTATTTACAGGTCCCTATGATATTGTTGAACAATGAAAATCCACTGTTGAATCATTGTTATAGAAGAGGGCAGGTTCCCTAAATGTGGTCTAGATCTATCATTAAAGCTATGATTGATTTTTTTATTACCGTAAAGCTGATGTTAGAGGATTCTTATGGCGCAAAAGCTCAGTGATTTGAGTTAAAGAGGCAAAATGAGTGCAAACATTATTTAAACAAATATTTCGCATGATTATGTTATGAGTTTTGTCGCTCATACTTACACTGAAATAGCGTTGGACAAATTTCATGTTGCTAATAATAAATTTGTCCCATGATGCACCTTGAATCGTGAAAGTGAGAAAATACAATTCACGAGTTTCAGTAAGTAATGATCCATAATGATGAAAAGTGTCAGTCAACAGTGATGGGAAGAGTTAACATTCTGAAACATAATAGTCAGAAATATTCTTATTGTGCATCACGGATTGAAACTGGTCGAGTCTGGCCCAGAGATGATCAACCATCCATACAACAAGGCATTTGTACATGCAGTCAGTGTGTAACAGAGCCTGGCGACCGGACCCGTGAAGATTCCGGGGTAGAATAGGTCTTCAGCAACCCATGCTTGCCGTAAAAGGTGACTATGCTTGTCGTAAGAGGTGACTAACGGGATCGGGTGGTCAGGTTCGCTGACTTGGTTGATGCATGTCATCGATCCCAATTGCGTGGATCGATGCTCATGACATTAATCACTGGATTGTCTGGTCCAGACTCGATTATTTACAGAGTGCGGCGTTAAACAACAAATCAACCAACCAACCAACCTGGCGAATATTACGACAGGCATGGTCCATTGGATGGATATTCTCCCCCGGCATCCCCAGACTTCACATCCCATGGCTGGGACATATGCTAACGGGACTGATCTATTGAAATGGGGTTAGAGGAAGATATAGTCCTCAATTATGCCCATAACGCATTTGACAACGACATTTGTCGGACAAGATGTGTATACTATGGTTTCTGGTGTCTTGGTCTATCAGATGAGCTATTTAATGTTTTTCAAGAATTGAAAAAAGCAGCGTCTCACTCAATTTAAAATGAAACAGAGAATAAACTTGATCAATACATTTACTTAACTTCCTACATATTCTTTTAACAACAAATTGCACAAGGGAACCCATGCTTGTCATAAATTGGAGCCGCCAAAAAATGATACTCGAAAGCTTGTTGGTTCTTGTCGTGTTCTGGGCTCCAATGACGCGGGTAGTAGTCCAATATATATGTCTGACAATGAATGACACATTTACGGTATTATTTTGAGCCTGTACATTCTATAAATTTCAACTATGAAAGCTGACTCAGCTGACTCTATTACATAACTGTGTTGTTCATGCATCAAATGTTAACGTTTGTCTTAACTGGTCGAACCGTTTCACTTTTAAAAAAAATCCGTTTTACACGTTTGTCTTCAGATGCTTCAGCCATGCCTAAGGGACGACGATTCGTTGTAGCGTTCTTTGAACAATTATACCAAGCTGCAAGCCTTCCAAACATGTTCTTTGTGATTCTATCTGAGTTCAATGCCACTGTTCACGTTGAGAGTGGATTCGGTATTTCAGAAGATTTACACATCCAAGGCATGGTAGACTACAAGTACAAAGTTGATGAAAGTTTTTATTACCAAGCCAACCTACAGGTGACTGACATGTCATTCTACTTTACATCCACTGAGGAAATAACCTTGTTCTGTTACCATGTACTTGTCAATCGTGGAGACGGATACCTTGCCTTGCCGATTGAGACCTTATCCACGGAATACATTGTAGTGACACACATTGATAATCACACAAGTTCAGCTGTTGAGGCTGAACTACCCTACACAAAGACCACACAGACTGCTTTCCTCATCATCGCTACGGAGGACAATACCCAGGTGGACATCAGTCTTAAGATACAAGGACTCCTTATGGCAGGTGGGTGTGGCAATGGGACATTCTTCAATGGGGAGAGTAGAACATTTACACTCAACAAGTATCAGACAGTTGGCGCCTACTGTGCCGAAGATATTACTGGAACACTGATTAGCAGTGACAAACCCGTGGCTGTGATTAGTGGGCATAACATGAAGTATACTACAAGCGTTAAAGACGGCATGCAAGAAATGTTACTGCCTGTGAAGTCATTTGGGAGAAGTTTTTACTTGCCAGAACCGCCATCTATTACTGGTGGGGCAATATACAGAGTTGTGGGATCAACTGCGTCGACCTCTGTACGCTCCCCGTACGTCAGTGGTATATCTTTCTCCCTTGGTGCTCGGGAGTCTCATGACATAACTGTTGACTCTACCACAGGTCCAGTTTACATTGAAGCCGATAAACCTGTCATGGTTGTTCAAATAGCTATAAAAACGCCATCACTGGCAATAGTTCCACCAACAAGTTTATACTCCAGCTCTTATGACATTGGAAAACCTGTTCTTCATGCGACATTTGACCTGAAGAAGGTGCTCATAACAGTCATTGTTCCGACTGACAAGGTTCTCGGAATACGACCACAGATATTTCCCCAATTCAAAGTAATTAAAGGCAGCTGTTTCTCAGAGGCATCAGTGGAGTTGACATCACCAGGATTCTACCGCCTGACCCACGAAGATGATGTTCCATTTGGAGCCATGATGTACGTGTTTCCGTTTGTAGACAGTCAGTCTGTGTTTACGCATCCGGCCGGACTGAATCTGACAAATGTTGTCGGTAAGTACATGTACAAGAAACAAAAACTTGAAGCCCACGTATAGCGTGTGAATGTGCATATGTTTAGAACATGTTTATCGGGTGATATTACAATTAACGAATTATACGTTTTCGAATGATGGACAGTTACAATACAAATGCAACATAGGTTGTCATACCAATTGCCGCCATACAGCTGGAATATTGCTGAGTGCGGCGTTAAACAACAAGCAAACAAACAAATCATACCAAGTGACCTATAATGGCTAATATCAGTTTATGTTATGTATTGTTGACCATATTTTCTGACACTAAACTCTAAAATATATATCAAAATATCTCGTTGTTAACATAGTTATTGTTTTCAGTTTTAACAAAATCAGTAAATGCGCAATCGTGTGATTTCGTGGATTTCTGGTTCGTCTCGTGATTGTCTAGGTTGTTTACATGCCTCCGTCGCATGACAGGGGTACTGCTTTGCGGTGTCAGAAAAACAAGTTGCGGGTACTACCGGTAGAGCGGGACTTGCGTATTCTTTTCGCGAACACCTGGTGTCACAACTGATTTTGCCTTTCACGCCTCTATTTCGTCGGATGATCGAGACTTGTTATTCTCCGGTGTTGATGTGTTATATATATTGTATATATAAGGGGCATTGCGTATATGTATGTTTAATGTTGTATTCTTTGGTTACAAGATAAAACCACGTGTCCCGCCTCGACAGTGTGTTCGGATGGTACTCCATATCCTTGCTCGTGTTCTTCAGGATACTTTGAATACCAATGTAATGACAGTAAGTGTTTTCACTTCGACACTGAGGATGTATTCAGTTTTTTATTCAACTATCTGGAGGTAATGTTACAACATCAAATCTAGAGATGACACTATTAACCTTGTGATGTCCAGATTGAACTACAATATTTTGACAGTTACTAATCAGTTAATACTTACTAAACCCAACACATTGTGAGACACGTGTAATACTACGTGATGTGCTGTGTAATGTGTTCACGGTAAAATAGATCGTTTGTGCTTTTTGGTGTGATATAATATTTGCCATTGTCAATTTTACGAAATATATCCCTGGTGCCCACTTGATATCACCAAGTCACGTTCGTGTTTGTACATAGTTGTGTATTTCTGGTACTGATGCAATTGTCTTCCTTGTGTCAAGCTTCAGGCGGCTGCACCGTGGACCCGTGCCAGTACTCCAGTGCCTGCACTGACCTGACAAATCTCTACCAATGTGACTGTGTCACTGGATCGGGAGGAGCGCACTGCGAGTTTGGTGAGTACCTGGTGTCTATGATACAAAGTCATTGAGGATGCAAGCCGGTCTGTATCAAGGGTATATAACATTACCATACCTCCATTTCAGAATGGTGAGATCTGATTGGTCCACGTGATCATGATAAAACACTGTATAACCCTCCTTGAAGAGTAATAAATTTTTCAGCGGGGGAATAAATCCCTAACACCCGCCACGAGCAATACAGGCTGCAAGAGGATTTCTGAGAGACAGAATATAACCCTTATACCCCGCGTCAAAGCAACAAGCCGCACTCCCTCCCCGAGTCAATGGAAGTCACGTGCCAAAGCACAAGTTGACCTCAGCTCAATCGAACAGCTGTTATCTATCAATTTTGAATTTGTGTTAATTCTTTTACATTAAAACATTAATGTCACATTAAAACATGTCGTTAAGATAAATTCGTTGTAGCAGGATCACTCGGGGTACATGTGTTTGTTTGCGTCCCACGTCAGGTTCATCGCTAGTGGTATAAAACCTAACGCGGGACGCAAAAAAGCACATGTACCCCGAGTGATCCTGCTACAAGTTAATTTATATTGTCTATGATGGGATTTCTTTCTATTTAATTAATCTGTCGAATTGAAAACTGAGGCATCGTTTCATTTAGAGAAAAGTCTATCAATAAATTTCACCTTGATCTGTAAAGAACCCTTCCACTGAAACCGATGGGTTGATGGAGCTAAAATGTGACACTTATGGCAGAAGATGCGTTGAAAAGTTTCCAATTAATTGGATATATATAAATAAATCGTTTGTAATCACTTAAAAACCAAAACAACATCCTTTGCAGGTTTGGTTTATCAAATATGGTCCCATAGAAATTAATAATGGACAAATTGCAAGAAATAACTAAAATTACACGTTCTTTAAGATATCTAAATATATTTATGAATAACAAATCAATATTGCGAACATGAGATACAGTCTGTTAACTATGTGATTTTTGGAATATGGATGTGAGAACATACGCTTGTTTGCAAATAATAGGAAAAACCTTTTGGGCAGATGTTCTCTTAGCATAGGCAAAATTTTAAAATTGTGTAAGGTACAATGACAAATGTGGTTTAGTATCCGAATGTCTATAGTGAAATGATCAAATGAAACTTGATGTAAAACTCTATTTGATAAACATTTGTATTCTCAGAAAATAAGAAATATTGATGATATACCGAAAGAACAAGACGAATATCTATTGTTTATGGATAAAAAAACAACATATAAAACGAAGGCTAACTTTTAGCAATACAATGGCCTGTTGAGATGTGTGAAAAAAAATATGTAATAACAGTACCCCCAGAAAGGAACGGGTCCGCTGAAACCATTATGTTTTGTCTTGACGGAAAATGAAATTGGTTGTAAAACGTTTTGTGATAAATTCATTGAACACATATACAATGCATAGCAGGACAAAATGTGACGAAAAAAGGGATGAAGTATTAGGAACACAGTTTACAACAAAAGGATGGAATGACTGACACTTGCTATCATTTGAATGTACAAAAATAACAAATTAAGGTGGGTTCCGTTGAGAATATAATGGAGAATTATTGCAACAAATACATATCTGAAAATGATGAAACGAAAAACAGATGATTCGTGTGATTTCTGTCACCCTTCTTTTGAAATAATACAGCATTTGTTTTATATTATTTATGTATTATTGTCATATAATTACATCTACAATAAAACGTCCTATATAATTAACAATATTACAGAACGTTTTATACGTATTCGGGATACGATCAATAAAGATTAAATACTTAATAAGATAATAATTGAAACCAGTTTTGTATGTACTCGTGTAAGGTGAAAGGGCGCCATGCAAACGTGAACGCCTACATCATATGAACTTGGATGTAATGCTTATGGATCCTGTAAATGGGGTAGAATGAGAAGATATGGGAAACGGCTGCCACTCCTGGGATAGGATACCCACACCTTTTCGGGAACATATGCATCAACATTCTTTGATACGAGTTCATAAACACCTGCTCATGTGTCATCGTCCGAAAAACCAATCGACTCTGCTTTTGGAGATGTCTTGTGAATATGGAAAGAGTTTTGTGGCTGTTAATTACTTATGTCTCCTTTCCAGGCTTCATAGTTCGTGACTGAGTGAGTTGGAAGACAAATATATATATACACATGCACAAAAGTTAAGCGCCACCATATTCATAGTCTCTTGATTTCACGTGTGGGAATCAGAAATACGAAATATGATGATGTATGACTGAATTAGGCTTCCATAGTTTCATGAACCCAAATTTGTCAAGATACCACAAGGAAAGCGTGCTTTACGTGTTGCTGCAGTTCCCCTACCCTATAAATAGTGAAATTCAAGTTTCAGACACGTGGTTGCATTTTGCTCCTGTGTGAGATTCCCCTCCCAGTAGAGGTTGAAAATCAGCCATGGTGAAGAGAAAGTTAACGATCGCTGAAAGATGGCAAGTGATAGGCATGAAAAATGCTGGCATGTCATGCAGGGCCATTGCAAGACAAAAGGGTCGTCATCACAGTGTTATCACTCGTTTTATTGTCAAACATGGTCAAACCAATGATGTCAATGACAGGCATAGGTCTGGTAGGCCAAGAAAGACCTCTAACAGAGAGGATATGCTTCTTTTCAGGATAGTCAGACGAAATCCATTTGCCACTGCAGATTTAAGGTTGGGGGTGGGGGTGGGTGTGTGTGTGTGTGTGTGGGGGGGGGGGGGGGGGGGGGGGGGGGTTGTGTGTGGTGTCTGTCATGATATGGGGTTGTGTTTCCTTCGACTGCAAACTTCCGCTGGTGACAATTCGTGGAAACCTGAATGGCCAACAATACCAAGATGCCGTTCGTCCATTGGTAGTCCCTCATTTTGACAACCATCCTCTTCAGACAAGACCTGTTTACATGGACGACAATGCTAGACCACATAGATCTCGGGCAGTTTTGGCTTATTTGCGCCAAGAAGCTATTGCCACTCTTCCTTGGCCGGCCTGTAGTCCGGATCTTAATCCGATTGAGCATCTCTGGAACATTCTTGGCCGGAAAATCAGACATCTTGATCCCCCAGTTCAAAATCTCGCTGGACTTGAAGCCGCACTTCATGAAGAATGGATCCGTTTGCCTCAAAGAAGCATTCAACGACTTGTAATGAGTATGAGGCGTAGGGTTGAAGCTGTGGTCAATGTCCGTGGATCATACACACGTAACTGACGTTTCTGTCTTGCAATAGACTCTGCACTCCCTCGGGTGACACCTGACATGGTCTGCTTATATCATGACAGTTACATACAAAAAAAGTTTTTCAATGTTTTCTAATCCTTCAATTTCTGGTCTTCGGTTAAAATTCCTTTCTGCTCATATTCTTTTGGAACACAAGATAAACTTGCTTTGGGACAACTTTTGAGGTTTACATATACGGCTTATATCAATCGTACATCTCGTTATAATAGTCATCATTAAGTGCCAAAAGTAACAGCTCACAAATATGGTGGGTGGCGCTTAACTTTTGTGCATGTGTATATAATAATTACTGGCTGTATAATGTGGTTCCATGCGACCTTTCTATATCCGAATTATACTCGAGTGTTGACTGTAATCAGAGTGTGGTGATGATGCAGCTTCACTAAAGTCAGTCCTCTTCTTTCATCCAGACATTAACAACCGTTGTGAGAACAATACGTGCGTAAATGGCACGTGTGTGGATGAAATTGGGGCGTTCTCCTGTAACTGCACAGATGGCTTTACTGGCGTGTTCTGTGAAACTAGTAAGTATTGTACCAGTAATGACATAACCATTCACATATTTAGTAAATACGATGTTTGTTTCGAATTGATACGTTTAAGGTTTTTGTATATTATATGTCATATCAGGGCTCGATTTAGCTATATATAACTTGAACCAGTGCAACCTTATATTGGAAAATGCAATCTAGCATTTATGTCTGCATGCATCAAGTGCACGTAAAAGGAATCAAAGGTGTGTCTGACTAACCCTAACTTGTGCACACAACAACGATCTTTGAACACAACCAATACCTCTGTGGTTTATTTGCAATACTACATGTACATCACTAATTGTCGTGTTATGTGTTACCCATGCATCTATGTTTCATCTTGGATAAATCTATGGGACCAGAGTGAAGCATGGTTATGTCAGGTGCAACAGGTTTTCATGTCAACATGCATCTGGTGCAAGTTAAATCAAGTTCCTTAAGTTGAGCTCTGCATATCTGTCGTACAAATGTGTTACGTGTCGTTTCCCCAATTGAAACATGTTAACCCAGAAATCTGTACCTAAACGAATTTAGTGTGAAAATAAAAAATACATCCAACAAATGGTTTAAAATCAACAAATGTATTTCAGAATTCACTAGGTTTACATATCAATACCAATTACTGCACAGCAATTACAATTGCAGTACACAATAGAGCGGTAGTACAATATTCAATGGCAGTATATAATATGATGACAGTGATCAGTATCAAAAACAAAACGCGGCAACAGTGGTCAAACTTCCGAGACGGGACCAGGCAGATCATCCGTGTGATATGTGATCTTCACACGAAAGCTGGTCATGATGTAATGTAGTGTGTGAGGGATGATCTAGCCACGCCTTCGTCGACGAGTCAGAATCAGACAATCCAGTGATTGACATCATGAGCATCGATCTATGCAATTGTGATATGATGACATGCATCGACCAAGTCACTGAGTCTGACGACCCGATCTAGATCTTACGACAAGCATGGGTGGCAACATTTGTAAAAGAAATTAGATTGTCAGAGAAAAGCTACTTTTTGTACTTCAGTTGCAAAGTCTAATGTTCTTTGCACTACATTTTTATGCTGTTTACCTTTACCCGATAGAACTGGTTATTGACATATTTTCATTGTTTCTATTTTCTTTGTCAGACAAAAACGAATGTGCACATGGTCCTTGTGTTCACGGAACCTGCGTGGATGGAATTAACAACTACACATGCATCTGTGAACCCGGATACACAGACCTGGATTGTTCTAAGGGTGACACATATGTTGATTTGATTTTATGGCAAAAGATTTCAAATTCAGTACCAAGTAAGCTTGAAGAAATATTAAAGTATTGTTCATAAATGAATGATATTGTCATCGTACACATACATATTCCTTTCAGACATTGATGATTGTGTGACCGGACCTTGCCAAAACAGTGGCATTTGTCACGACTTCGTCAATTATTTCAACTGCTCATGTACCCCTGGATTCATCGGATTACTGTGTGAAACAGGTATTTCTCATTATGTTTACATTATAAATAGCATAGCACCTTTAGATATCGAGAAATAATGTGTTAGAGTAGATGTGATGATTAATTGCCAAATGCACCACAATACAGCTGTCCAATGTACCATTTATCCTTACAGATCAATATGACATGGACGTAGTTTTGGACGATGCATTGAAGATGTATCTTATCTACCTTCCCAGATATTTAGGTATTAACATACTACAACAATGACACAGCTATATAATTTACGACTTTTATACTCTCCAAATAAAGTAGGGGATCATGAAGAGTTATCATCGGTCCTCAGAAGAAGGAGTAGCTTTGCAATATGACTACCAGTGATAGAACGGTTTCGGAGATTCACTTTTGACTTTCTGGATAAGCATGAACGTGTCTGGAGGCGTTCTAACGAATGTCATGCAAACATCAATGTAAAGTAACAGCAGATTTGTGGGTAGGTCTGTAATGATATGGCGGTGGGATCACTGTGACTGCTCGAACCACACGGCATATTGTCCAAGGAAGGGTCACTGGTGAGTACTGCTGTGACATCATACTGGCGCAATTACTTGGGCCGTTGCACGTCATGCTGGTCCACGTTTTGTGTTTTACGTGTACGTAGCGCAACTGACAAACATCAAACATCACCAGAATTCAGTGGCCAGCCGTGAGTCCTGACCCTTTTCCCGTAGTGTACGTTTGGGACATAATCTGGAGATGTCAAAGGCCACCCGTTACGTTAGCCAAACTGGAACAGGCGCTGCAAGAGTAGTGGACAAGATTCCCTCAAATTGTCATCGTGAGATTCATTCGAACCGTGCCACGCCGTGTAAACGAATGTTTGACCAAGCGTGTGGGCATGAACCATTATTGATCATTTCATTTTAAACGTTCATGTTTTAGTACAAACCCCTACAGGTTCTGTGGACTGTCATGTTACAACTAGTCCCTCCATTTTCTTATCCATCCATTACTATCACTCGATACGATTATTTCTGTAGTCGTCTGGAAGTTTCCAATATCACCTTCTTCTTGGGAGAGTATACATAAATGCCTTGTATATTATTAATAATGTATATTGCTAATATTTTTTAATGTTCACACCATTGGCTGCGAACTTATAGTATTTCTATTTTTGATTGCTTTAGACATGGACGAGTGTTCCAGTAACCCGTGCGTGAATGGCATCTGCAGTGATCTGCCCAACAAGTACAATTGTACCTGCACACCTGGATATAAAGGGGTCAACTGTGACGAAAGTATGTCTGTTTTACATCATAAAATCACCTCTGTTTAACTCATTATCGCAACATGCTCTGATGAATAAATTATTTCTTGACAACGTTAAACCTGTCAATCCATGATGTATAAAGAGCATACATTATATTCATATATACTTCGTACGGTTTCAATTGTAACTGAAGAAGCATTTAATGTATGCCAATGAAATTTGGTACACGTTAATATTGGGACGGGGCTGCGATCTGAAAAGATTGAAAGTAACCTACATAGGTTACTTTCAATCTCTGCAAGTGCCCAGCATGCAATGGACAGTGACTCGTATGAGTTTTAAAATCTTATTCACAGAAGCAAAAGGACAAGGTTATTTTATAAGGATCTATTCACCGAGCTATTTACAAAGATCAGTTCACTGAATTGTTTTCACTCACTGATGCATCAACATTGAATCAAACATTACTAATTATATGGTTTCTTAGCCACTGTAAAACACAAATAATATACGGCTAGTAAATAATACTTCTGACCAAGTGTAGAATTATATCTACTCACAAAATTGTATTTCCTTCTTGCACGCACCGGGTAAACGGCCTACCCAATGCACGCAATGGGCAGTTGCACAGATTGGGTGTAACATAAAATCGTATCATGTATAACTCTATAATAGCCTTTGGAAGTCATTTTTGCACATTGATATGTCGTATCTCGGATCAGTGTCATCCTCCAGGTCACTGAAACTTGATACATGTCATCTGGGACGGGGCCCCAAGTCTAAAAAGGTTGCGCGAGTGACCATATATGTCAACTTACGGTGAAGGTCGTGCCTAAGTGTGGTTGCCATTTTAACTGAAATGTTTATTTCTGCAAATTTATTTTTTATAATTGCATGCATGTATATCATTTGAAAACTTGGGTAACGAGAAGGTTATGTTTATTTGTTTCGGTCCCTGTGACCTACTTTCAATGAGGAGCATATGCTATGTAACGCTAAATTCCACCTGGGGACATCAGATTGGTCGTACACTGAAATTCAAGTTCACTTTCACGATTATGCAGACGATATTAACAAAATGACTTCATGTTTTAGCTTGAAATTGTGCGCATTTTCTTCATGCTGGTTCTCGATGTACACAGTAAGGTTTGCCAAACAGTTTCAGTTCGCGGAAAGTGTACATATAGTAAAGCAAGGAAAGTATATAAAGTGTAGAGTATAAAACTGGGAAAATATGTTTAGTGTTACAGCGCCATGGTTCAAAAGCTATTGTCAGCATCTCTTTAATTTCTTTCCTATATTTAAACCCTTGTTGTTTCACTCCGTATATTCGCCAACAAGACTTCGCGTTTCATTTTGCCATGGTATAAATAGAGATAATAATGTTACTGTGAATGGATGAAGAGCTAGGTACAAAATGATATTTGGCACCAAACGCCCCGTACCGAATGCACATTAAAAACAAAATTAACCGGATAAGCTTTTTATTTTCATAAATAATATTTATCATCTGTCTATACGTTTAGTTCATCTCTTTTCTACAGCAATACCTTGTTACCAGAACACATTGTATTGGTGAACATGTTGTACATTCTGTAATTGGCACAACATATTCAAGAGGACATAATGTGCTGATCGTTCTACGTACTTACGTATTTGTGTTGCATAACTCTTTTCTATTGATGCTGCTATATGTGACAGCATAAATTGATAAGTATTTGTCTGATTTTATTTACTTTCCTGTTCTTTGTGGATAGCAGACAAATATCGAATATGGCGTTGAAACAATTCACTCCTGTCATTAATACATCTCCGGGCGTTATGTTGTGCTGACAGACGTCTACGTTTGCTCATTACCGACGGTTTAATAAAGGTTTGGTCGTTGTTCAGTGTTCAAAGTTCGTTATGCTTTGTATCACCAGCACTCATTAATTATAAAAGATGTCGATTTTATTGCAAGCCTACATGCTGATAATTGAGCTAACCTGTACAGTCGCTATTTCCATTCCTCATTTAATACCAAGACAATGAAATACTTACAAAGGAAGGCTTAGATTTATAACAAAGTCTGCATTTTGGAGAGACTTACATGTGAGATAAAACATGAATTCCGTCTATCCCTTTGTGGGGAGAGTTGTTTAAATAGGTTGAACCTGTTCACCAATCCCATTCCTTTTTCTTGGAAATACATATTGTTTAAATCAATTTCGTCTATACAGTTCAACCAAAATATGGATCAAAACGGTGAAAATCAATCGCGCTGATAGATGATTATGATGGGCAAATGGAAGCCAGGACTATATTACCACTGATTGGTAATAGGTAATGGACAATGGGCAAACGGGAGGCTGGGGGATAATTAGCACTGACATGTAATAGAATGGAAATAACGATGGACAAATGGAAGCCAGCTAGATAACTAGCTCTGACAAAGATTAAAGCTCAAAGCAATAAATCCCAAGCAATGGGCAGATAGGTTCCCTGGTCACGGTTGATGGCTGGCTGGTGTCTTCTGATGTCAATGACTTCTTGTAGTTTTCTTTGTCCCCAGTTGATGTTGGTAGACAAGGACTACCGTGAACCGTGACAGTGAAAGACGGCTTTTACTGTGAAGTTTTGGCTTCCATTAAAATGTGTCTTTTGGTAAGCTCCTCACAGCGCCAATTATCGGTTGGCCTCCCTGGTTCGAAGACTTCATTTCTGACAGGTGCCATACTTATACTGCCTCTATTTATCCCCAATTACAGTCCTTGTAGGCAGTGACGAATAAAAGTTTCTTTGCCTTTGCAGATCATGTTTCCCTATTTTTAATAAAATTAACATCTTATTTGACAATTAGTGACACTTTTGACTGATTTTGTTTCGCTTGCTAACTTCTCCTTGCCCATCTCTTTTCTGATTATGAAATAACGGTAGTTGATAGGACGAGCAACGTTTCACCTTGTACAATGATATATAGTAACCAGTCGAGATCGGCAATTAAGCTAAGCAAATACATTAGGCATATCTTATTCACTGGAATCCCTTTGCTGGAAATACTTAGCGAAAACTTGTATATACTTGATATAACGCAATACCGACACGAGTGTCTCTCAAGGCCTTGAAACTATTAACTGACTTAAAGTAGTTTCGTGTCGAAAGGTAGAATGCTGACACAAAATGACATATTAAATATTTGCTTATGAATCCCAAGGACTACGGTCTGCAACCCATGCCAGCATAATAAGGGAAATTGAGTTCTAGCGAATTCAAACTGACTACCCATAATAATTCACGTCATAAAGTTGGGAAATGTCAGTTGCCATTCTATGAATTCTATATAACGTTACTAGAACCTGAGTCGTAATGGTGCATTGCAGGAATATTGGTCATTTTAGATCAGTCAGTGATGTCTCAACTTAATTCTATGAAAGCCACGTCTTTGCGTAAATGAAATTAGTGAGAGATATGATCACAAAACTTCAGAAAATAATAGATATAATACTATAATTTCACTAATTGTGTGTTATTAATTCATGGTTATTTGAATTAAGATATCACCTTCCATTCATTATGCATAAATTGTCCATGTTGAGTTGCGTCACTAAACCATGCTAGTGTTCGACAGTCGTTGCGAGTAAAATCTCCGGTTCAACTTAAGTATGATCTGTTTTTGTTAATAACTTACTCATATTGGAAGTTGTAAATATCTACGACCTGAGTCGTTTTGAAATAAGTCTTATTTCCCAAATGTATGTTCCACACGCTCTGAAACCTTTCATTATTTATCTCAGGAACTGAACAATACAATCTCTTTAAATTCTCTTTTTGACAGCACAGATCATGGTGTTGAAACTATTGGCAATGATGTTTGACGAATGTGAAATTTCATTGTAGACATCGATGACTGTTCCGGGAGCCCCTGTCAGAATAACGGCACGTGTGCTGATGCCATCAACTCATATACCTGCACGTGCGTTACTGGATACACAGGGGAAGAATGTCAAAAAAGTAAGCTTTGTTAAACAATATCAGCCTAAAAAATATTTTTAAAATGCTTAAATGCTTCATGAAATATTTCGTTTACAAGAGATATTTACATGTATAAATTATATAAACAGGACTGGACATGTTTATGACCAGTATATGAGCTGTGTATGTCAAATGGATGAGTGAGTGAGTAATTATTGCTCAAAGACGCCTCAGCAATCTTGCAGCTATTCGTGGCGAGAAATATAAATTATTGTTCTAAGCTGTAATTTGTAAGAATGATGTCAAGCGTCATTAAAATAGCCAGTCCAATATTATAGTAAATTTTAAAACTGATTTTCAAAACTAAAATCTAAGTTTTATTGTATAGGTATATTTCTGTCAAATACACCAGCTATCGACGATATATTCCAATCGACGGTTGTGTACCATGAAGCTTGGTGATTCCTACAAATGTTTGCACATCAGCTTTTCGATTCATACCTCAATGAACCGAAACAAATAAACGGTCAATATATCCTTATAATAAAATTAACACAAAACAGTTCATGTCATGTTCTTCGTCTTGGGACCCATGAAAGTCAAACGACAGCAGGAAGGACTAACTACGTTTTAACAGCATTTTTGGTGTTACCGTCAGCAGCCGAGCGCTGAGATGACCACACAATATGACATCATAACATTACGTCAGATCCGGGGTACAGGACTGACCGCAGGAACTATCCAGAGCTGAGGAACACCCCAACTATTAATGGAGTATGCACAAACACAACAATTTTATCAAACACAATTATATTAATCAAGGCTAACAAACATGACAAAATGGATAAACATTCAAGGCGTAGGAATTCATACTGTGGCGTGACTTAGGTGATTGTTTAACGTAACACAAAGTTCGTAGGACCTGTCAATGTTATCATTTTGGTTGTCTCACCTTCCTGGGTCCTGACGAACGTATCTGCTTCGCTCTCAAACTTCTACCAAATAACGTAGAGACTACATTTCGTGATAATTCGTCACGATTCTCATCGTTTTGTGCCTTCTCTGGAATTTGTAAACAAAACAGGAGTGTTGGTATTCAACTGGCGTACTGATTTTCAGGAACGATCATCGTTTAATATCTCTGATACAGTTGAGCCTCTTTCAAATTTTGTTCCAAAGGTCCAGTTTCAGCGGAGATAACATAGCCCTGCTCCTGAGTGAGGAGTCGTCAAGTAAACCAGTAATTATAAGGTTTGCCAATTTATTATTGACAGACTCATATCTTCCATTCTTGGATTCGATGAAGTGTTTCTTGCAGTTTTTACGTTCTTGATGGGATCTCTCTGTAGCTCCATTTGATGCTGGGAGATATGGCGGCGTAAGCATGTGCTGCTAATTCCCAATATCCCATGTGTTCTGCGTCCAATTCTTCTGAGACATAGTCTCTGTACTTCTGTGGTATAATGACACGTACATGCCAGTGTACACAACCTTCGCCAACAGAAAGCTGAGTTCTTCGCCGGAAGAATATTTGAAGATTGTCATCTGGTACATGATTTGACAATCCGATTGCTGTCAGGTCCAGCACTTTGGACAATTTCTTCTGCCAACACGGATAGGTTGTTCGTGTTGGTGAAGTAGTTAATGTTTGCCTCAAGCGATTTCTTGCCTTTTGTGGTGGGTTAGCTGGATAAGGCGTCCGCACAAGCATGATCCCCTGATTTCTGATACCTGCTTTCATACTGGTTGCCATTAAGACTAGTGCCCATTTCTGTAACCATGTGGCAGCTGGTGTAGTTATTCCGGTCTTCGGCCCTAGTAGTGTTGTGAGAGGCGTGTGATCTGTAATCAATATGAAGTTTCGTCCATATATGTAGTTGTGAAACTTCTAGTTGTCAAATATGATAGACAGGGCTTCTTTTTCCGCCGTGCATAGTTCTGTTCACTGGCAGTCAGTGTTCAAGGTAATGCTTCAACATTGACGTGACATTGATTTTTGGCTGGGTATGAAAGTTGTGATGACGTTGAAATGTCGACGTTGAATCAACATCAGATATCACTTTTTGACACAATGTTGTGCTACAATAGAGAAATGACATTGATTTTTGGTTGGATTTGAAAGCTGTAATATCGACGTTGAATCAACATCAGATATCAATGATGAATTGTGTCAGGGTTTTGGTTGAATAATTGTTGCATTGATACATACAGCTACACAGTAGTATATTATCAGTTCAAATGGACTCCCAAACTCTACTCCTAGTCTGAGTTGCATCTCCTTAGATCCTAGAAGGCGCTGACTAAGGTCCCCGGATCCAATTTCCCCCCACATTTAATTGGGGTGAATGCTGCACTTTGAGAGAGTCCAATGCCACTATTGGTCTGTCAGATACCCACAGGGTTATTTTCATCCACTTTGCGGAGTCTCCAGCCCTTAGTATTTTAAATTTTCGCGAAATCGCGAGATCTCGTCATTCTCCGGACAAAAGACAAGACAGATGACAATGTTCTTAATACTTAATACTAAAATTACAACCTTTACATGAAACAATCAATGTAAAACTACATGCCAAAGTGTCCCTCAACTGAATAAGTGCAATCCATGGCACAATCATATTAAGGGAAACAATCTGTGAGCACCATCCTTAAATTGGCACATCCATCATTTGGCATAACTTAGTCTCTTAGAACATGCCTTGAACGGTCTCCTGATATCGAGTATTTTATGTCAGTTCTGAACACATCGACTTAAGAATCTGGATCTTCCCACAACATGATGATTACAGCATAAAGGCAGCGTTATCTCCCTTGATTCATCAGTCATCTGCTCTCCTTGTCTTGTCGACTAACTAAACAAAATCTTATTAACATATAAATATAACCAATGTTTTTGCCAGAATCACGTCATACACAGTTTATTTCAATTTTTCGTTTGCACAAAAGATGTAGCGTTGAGCATTATTGCAGTATTAACACTGTATCGTTGGATACTAATTAAGACGGCCGCTGATGATGAGGTTCAGAAAGCTGCAAATGGAAACAAATCCTTGTTACGTATACAACTATCCAAATTGTATTAATTAGCACTTACTTCAATCACATGCTATGTTTCAGAACATGTGTACATAGAAACATTCTAAATGTAAAGAAACAACTCCCATCTGTACTTACAACCATAAGGATGAATTAACAGAATGAAATTATTATTGAAATTTAACTTGGAGAATACAGCTAAACTGCGGTACCCAACGCAACAACAGTTGTCAAACTGCAACGCAGGACAGTGCAGACAGGAACACCGACTCGGAACATCCCCTCCAGCAGGCCGCTGGACCAACCCCAAACCATAGCCATAAACACATAGCAAAGGGATGCTTGTTAGGGTAACTCATCAACAAACATTGCCCCCAGCTACCTAGCGTTATTCAAAGAAAGATATCCCCCAGGACCCCACATATAATACAGCACTGCACTAAAGGAAAAAACCGGATACACTTATATGTAATGTTGCATGTAAGTTAGTTGAAAATGCTGCCTGATGTGTCCGTAAAGGTTATTTAGCGGCTATCTGACCTTGTATCCAGCCCTACCAGCGTGTGGATGCAAAAGACCAAACTGATTGACCTGCTCCACTTGTCGATGTCTCATGCTTTGTAGGGGATGGCCAATTGCTGGTAGTGCTGAAAAGTAAAGTAAGAGAAAATCAGCATACATGTGAACATATGGTCTTAAACATACATGACATTAAATTGAGCAAAATGTAATAATGAATTGCTTAAAATATGCATTTACAGCACAATACCATACATTGGGAGGGTGGGAGAATGTTACCCACGTGTAGCTCGCTTTAAAAGTTAGACAGGAAAGGACAACTCGTGCCGATGACCTGAATAACCTATCCAAATGTTTTAGAGGTATCTCCCTTTAAGTTGCTTTTAATTGCCAGTAATAATGATTTTTATCTCAAATGCTTTCAATAAAATATCTTGTTCAGTGAGTATTTGGGATTAAAATATCACCTTCGACATACGTATACATTTTCCGTGTGGAATTGCGTCACTGAACCGTGCTAGTGTCCGATGGTCGTTAGTAGTATAATTTCCGATTCATCATGACTTTATGATTCTTTCTGCCGATACCATGTTTAATTTGGTGCCTTAACAGAAGTTGTAAACCTCTACGACCTGGGTTGTGTTAATAGAAGTCTTATTTGTGTGGGGGCGTGGGGGTGTGTGTTGCCGTGTGCCGTGTGCAGCCACGCGCTGATATGACCATACAACATGACATATAACATGACGTCATAGTGCCGATTGTACGATTCCGATTATATCATGAGCATGTGTTTATGAATCACTTCCAAATAGTGATGATACCAGGTGTTCGCGATGAGCCTGCCCCACCGGTGACACCCGTTACAATCACATGCAAAGACAAATTCAATTGTTCACCTGAAAGTAACACACGGGAAAATATGGTACAAGTCAAAATAGGGAATTGCATCGGACATCATTTTGTCACTGATGCGTCAAATTTGGAAATGTACATGTCCTCCACATGTCTATCATAAATCTTTTTGAAAGTTTCTGGTGTCCCCCGCCGTGATATTGCTGGAATATTGCTTAAAGCGGCGTAAAACCAAACTCACTCACTCTTTTTGAAAGCTTCACTGAGGCCTTGAATGTTGAAACCTTGATCAAACAACTTCTGAGCACGAGTCGTATGACGCTCTTTGAAATCTTTGAAGAAAGAGCATGCTCGGTTGTATCTCAAAAGTTGTGAAATGTAAACACAATAGCATGAAGCTGCTGGAATATTGCACGGGAAGTTGACAATTGGAATGTTGAAGTCACCACTTATAAATAAAAAAAAGAGTGATATAAATCAAAGCAGACAAATATGACGATATTGATTTATTTTCAAAGCGTAGGAATTCATACTTAGACGTGACATCTATCAGGTGATTGTGTAATTTAACAAGGAGTAACGTCAAACAAAGTTCATACGATCTGTCAATGAAGGCAAGAGGAGAAAAGAACTGCATCTGTTTCCAATCAGAGGCGTGGCTTATTTGAGTGTGACCAGTTCAGCTGATCAGAATGCAGGAATGACAATGAACACTACAAAAATAAAGTAATTGTTTTTTAAAATGTCATATCATGTGCCGAACCTAATTGTAATAACTTGAATGATCACATGTTCATAATCGTCTGGGGATTGGGTGTTTCATAATTTTTATAAACATATTGATTTTCATATTCATGATGGGGATAGAGTTATGTAACTTACGTACATTTTAGGGTAGTTATTAAGCGAGTGTGTTTTGAGATGGTAAAAAATCTTGTTTTAGGAAATACATACGCTCTTCAAAAAAAAGAAACGCACAGGTAGTATATAGTTCTTGGAACCTGAAAATCCGGTATATATATTGGATATATGTTAGATGAAAATATTGGTAGCCTGATATTCGACAAACGGTGCGTCAAAACGCAGCCATTGCCGATTTGCAATGTCTTAAACGGCATTGTTTTCACACTTGTTAAAAAATGTCATGGAGGAAAACAGTAAAGCAAAATGCACGTGCAAGTTATGACATTCGTAACTCGTGATAGTGACTATAAAAAGGCAAGCATAAGCCAATAATTTGTCATTCAATTGCCAACATTTTTCAAGTTTGCAAATGCCGAGACTCAGCGCTGCCGATCGGAACATCGCCATATGACGTATCCAAAGAGGGGAATCGGTCAATTCAACGTCTTCCACAGCACCATCTGCCCCCTTTGTGACCGATACACACAGTTCAATTCCACTGCAGACCGTCCAAGAACCTGCCGACCAAGAGTTACCACCCCTGCACAGGATCGCTACTTTCGACTGTTCCACCTACGTCATCGCAATGCCACAGCTACGGAGACTGCAGGACGCATCCCTGGTTTGAGGAGGATATCGGACCAGACTGTCAGGAACCATCTTCGCGAGGCTGGAATCCGACCCAGAAGACCAGTTATCATCGATCCATCGACAGCGACGCTTGCTTTGGTGCCATACTTTACAGCCTTGGAATTTGAGTGTGGTTAAGCGATGAATCACGATTTCTTCTTCACCGGCGGGATGGAAGACATCGTCGTCGAAATGAGCGATTTGCCCCACATTGTGTACGTGATTTCGACAATTTCGGTGTGGGGGGCCATATCCTACACCATGAGATCTGACTTGGTTGTGGTTCAGGGAAATTTGACAGCAAATCGCTACATGAATCAAATTCTTCAACCTCACCTTCTTCCAATCATTGACCGCCAGAGGGAGCTGTTTCAACAGGACAACACTCCACCGCACACAGCTCGTGTCACGGTAGACTACCTTCATAATGTCAACATCATTGACTTACCCTGGCCGACGAGATCTTGAGATCTCAACCCAATGGAACACCTCTGAGATGAACTCGATCGACGTGTACGTCAACCTCAGAACACGCCGCAGACAATCCCACAATCCCAACGCGTTATAAGCAGAATTCCGCAGGACAGAATTCGTACACTTATCCAATCAGTGCCGATGAGATGTAGAGCCGCGATTGCTACCTTGGCACATAGTGTTTATCCCGAAAATGACAAGCATTATCATACATTGTCATTCTTAAATTCTGTCTTCGAATTCAAGGTTCACGGGGATCGGCGCATAAAGGCCAGGTTCACACAGTGCCGATTATGGCTCCCGTTTTGAGATCAGGCAGCGAAAAAGTGAAAAAGTCGGATAACTGTCCTCATTTATGCATATCATTGTCTGAACGCAGTCGCATACGTTTGTAACAGAGTCCTACGGATCGGGAAAGGTCCAGAGAGGTCGGCCAAGCACTCTCGACAGTATGGTGAGTCCCGTAACATTCGGGTCCCGTAACATCCTTGCCTTTCGCGGCAATCCATCGGTCCGCCTGCTAGAGTAACTGCCCTTTATCAAAGTCTTTTACCTCAGTCTATAAGACGTCACGATTGTGTGGAGTCTGCCTGCCCTGCCATAACGTTACGAAGTGCAGTAAGATGTATAAAAATCAACCAAATATATCTCCAAAGTTTCCAAAACTTCTAAAATGCCTCAGTTACGTCCAAGTTAGACACTGACCGAGTATCTTTGACTATTGTTTTAATAATGATAATGATAGTGATAACAATTATCCCTGTAGTTTTTCCAGATAATTGACTCGATCGTCGATTGACAAGGTCGACGCCATTTGAAAATGTTAATAGAAATACATTCCTGACCTTTCATATTTGCATCTTTATCCGTATACGACCCCCACGGATACCGTTTGTATCCGCTGGCTTTATCCTGCCGAAAAATGTACCCATTATATGATATATGTTGTTTATATTCTAGAATTGTTTTGATTTGTATGACTCACGGTTGTGTCCGTTATCGCTGCCACAATCCGATTGGATCCAATCCCGGAATGGCTACGTTTATAATCCCTGGCTTGTAACCAACAGTCCCACCACATTAATCTGATACAGCATTCACTCGTTTAGTCGAGACACAAGTTGGATGCTACACTTAACGTGTGTGTGGTTGAAAGTTAGGTGGCAAATTCATATCGATATTATTTGCTGCTGTATATGCATTTTTACTGAATAAGGATATTTAACTAGGTCAAAATCGAAATTACTTTATGTCTCATATGGTTGGTAAACTGTTTATATTTACCACTGACTGTTTTGAAGATATCGACGAGTGTGCCAGCAATCCATGCGTCAACAGCGGTACCTGTGTAGACGGGGTAAATGGGTTCATCTGCAGTTGCCCCGTTGGTATCAGCGGAACTATCTGTGAAATAGGTAAATTCATTATCATCCTAGGTCATAATTTCGATAACTGAATGCATAAGTGAAATTGATAATTAAAAATAGATATCGATTGCATGGTAACACGTGGATAGCTTTGTAATATTTCAGACAGGTATGTATTATTTGAGATTGATTTCTATTACATTGGACATAATTATGTTATTTTTTATAGATGTTTATAGAATAAGTTAATTCTGGGTTTGGTCTGAAATAACTGTATTTAAAGTTTGTAGTGTCCCGTCATTGAAGTATTATCTTTACATGTTGTGGAAGTAACAGTAATTATAATGTCTGTACAACATGTGATCGTGGTAAAATAATAACAATAACATAATAGAACAACCATTAAAAAGGTTTACTTTTTGTGTGAAAAGTACGTATATCACTGGGTATTAACATGTCACCAGAGTAATAAAATTGTATTTAATTAAATAATCATATATTACGTTTTTGTAGCATATGATCAGTATCTACATTTCCTTAGGTGGCAACATAAACCATATTTTTTCATTGTTTCACAATCTCTGTTTCTAAGGAGGTGATCCATGTGCTGCCATTCCCTGCCAGAACAATGCCACGTGCACACAGACGTCTGTTGGCTTCAACTGCTCCTGTCCGCTGGGTTTTGTGGGTCAAACCTGTCAGACAGGTGCAGTCCCGTTAGAATTAGTTCCCTTTTTGTGAAGATGTTAATGTTTGAGTTAATATGTTTTCTTAATGCCATTATGTCAGTCTTCAAAGGGCCTGACATATCATTGTGAGAGGAAAGGCTAAAGTGTCCCAAACACTGTCATAGTCCAGAAAGAATACATGATAATAATCCTTTTTTGAGGTGATTCTGTCCATGGGATTAATACTTTCAAGAAGATGGCCTCTGTAACAATTTCCTCGCAGTGGAAACACTTTACATGCCGTTTTTAGATGTCATAGAATATCAGACACAGACTATATTTGAGTACCAAGGATCGCCAAGATCTATTGAGGTGGAATACAGGTTCCAGAACATGCAGGTGCAGGTAGGTAGGTAGGTAGGTAGGTGGGTAGGCAGGTAGGTAGGTAGGTAGGTAGGTAGTTTGGTAAAGAAGCAATCAGGAGTGTCCATGGCAACCATGACGTGGAAAGTGTAGAGCTGGTGAATGATGCTTTGGGAGATGTGTGTTGGCCATTCAATGGTTTACTAGAGAGATAATGGATCATTGTGGCAATACTGTGGCGTGGCACTTTCTTGAAATATCATTGACGTATTTCTTTTAGATACTTACATCCGACAAACAACCCCCGACACTGTCCTTCCGGCAAACATCGAGGCATTCTATAAACAGGCGGAGAACGTTTGTAAGTAATCTGGATTATGATGATAAATAGCATACTACAACCTGAGATTGCATATATCCAAGTTATATAAAATATTTCGAATTGTAACAAAATCAAAATTTTGTAGCTGTTGACAAAAACATGATTTGATGTAAAAGAGAACAGAACAGACTTTCCTACAATAACAATTGCTGGTTTACATATGGCACGTGGCATCAATTGTGCTCCCCTTCTTGCTGATCTGTTCGTTTATGCCTATGAATCGGACTCATCCGACTGGTCAAGTGAAAACAAGGCGAAAAGAGGTAATAAGGTTTAAGTTAAGCTTCAGGTATATCGAGGATCTAATATTGTTAAAAAACCTCCAAATAGCCAATTCCCTTCCACTGATTTACCCAACCGGACCAGAAATATAGAAGACCAGTGAGACCGCCTTGTCTGTTGCACCTTTAGATCTATGCATAAAGATTCAAAGTGACGAAAATCTTTCCATGAGACTGTATGGGCAAGAGGGATGACTTCAACTTTCCAACAGTCAACATGCCCTTCATGTCGCGCAATATTGCAGCAGCTCCAGCCTTTTGTGCCTTTTGACCGCACGAGCGCCGTCAAAGGTGGCGCGTTCGGTTGAGGTGTTTTTCGGTACCTGTTCCTGGGCAGTCATATTCCAAATACCCATTTTCCACTTGTTATCGCTTTTTTTAGGAAAATACAAATTGCCAACCTATACTTTCTTTTGCCGCTTAGTTTAATTTTCATAACTCTTTTCCTTTTAGGCTCAATGAAATCGGTTTTGGCATAATCGAGACTGTTGTTTTTCTGGCGTTGACGTTTTATAAATTTACATGCGAACATTGGGAGTGTAAACATGATCAGTGTTATTTAGTGCAACGTGTCAATATATCGTACGGACAAGTCAAAATGGCGATTGTTCGTTACATGTAGCATCCACCAACCACATTATGTTTATTACATACAGGGCCATCGAATAAGGATGCGTGAAAACTACATGTGAAGGTCGAAGCATCGTGCAGCATGTGCACAAGCGACGTGTATTAAGTACATTCTTCTCAATGTCCTAAGCTTTTTACTTTGATGGTGAAACATAAATTGAAAAGATTAGTTGTAAGCAAAACGTGTCGTTCCATGAAATGTGAACAAACTGTTCCTGCTCTGAAGTGTACCCACAGGCAAATGTTATTGTGTGAAGAGTGTGTGGGTGAGTGGGTGAGTGGGTGAGTGGGTGGGTGAGTTCTCTTGGCGTTCTGTTGGGTAGAGTGAGTGAGTGAGTGAGTGAGTGAGTGAGTCAAGGTTTATAGTCACACCGGCAATATTTCAGCCATATCGTGACTAAATCAAGGTTATGTATTAATGATACATAAAAATGAACTATAAAACCTGTCGAAGAAGGACAGTCAAAGAACTAGATCATTACAGACGTAGGTTTAAAACTAGCATGTCACCATTAACATTGAACTATTCATAACAATACAAATAAAAATGGGTTAGAGACCACCACCAACCAAAGTTAGGCCGCCATACTAGGGATCATGGTCTGTTGGATAGAGCATGCGAGTTGTGAGTGAGTTGGGTTTCACGCCGCTTTTAAAAGTATTTCAGTTTAATCATGGTGACTAGGGCTCAATGTGGGAAAAAGCCCGAAGTGATTCAGGTATCATACTGTTACCACTATGGTGAAATTCACGAGCACCAGTATGGTGCTGACAAAACATAATCGGAGAGGGCCGGGATTCGAACCAACAAACAGGTTTCTGGCGTGCCCGAGGGATAACTAACGGAATGGGTCAGAACTGCTCGAGAGGTCACTATGATTTGAGTTCTTCTTGTAGCCGTTATGGCACCCCAGATCCTAATGCCATAACCTCAAAAGCTACCAAGAACGTACGGAGTGACATAACGTTCACCTAGACGCCTGTGGACACGAGTCCTCAACAGTGACGAAGTGCTTTTCCGACCACCGTTTTGTCAGTTTCAGTTTCAGTTTCAGTTTTATTTCTCTGAAAAACCACCAACGGTGGTCAACGCAAGTGTTGCCTGCCCCACTAGAGATGTCCAGATTGATATTCTGTCGCCAGATAGGCCTCCGGGATGGTGGGCAGCCAAGTGCTGACTTGCTTAAATAGCTAATGTCTATGTCAACTGTGCAGGTTTATTCTGAATTTGTTCTCTTTGTCACAGATACCGATATGCATACAAGCATTCACCAAACAAAAACGAGTGTGAGCATGAACGGTTGATAGCATTAAACTTAACTAATAACTTAACATCAACTAATTTTGTTTCCAGCTCATGGAGAGACGCGGTTTTGGCGTGGGACAGTTTCGGCCGCTCGGTACATGACCGATGAGCTTGAGTACCTGGAAGACTGCCTTGTCCTATGCAAACAGGACGTTCTCTGTTCGGCTGTGCTCTACACAGTGTCCGGTTCGGGGAAATGCGTTCGACTTCAGTGACTTACTCTGGTTTATTTAAGTAGACTGTAAAAGCTACGTTAAAAAGGTCATTTAAAACGACTGTGTAAACAAATAATAAATTCCTGTCTTCTTTCAAACCGATTTGTTGGACCAGAACGTACATTGATAACATTGAAAATCGTCTTAACATTGACTCTTATTTCATTACACCTGTACATGTGAATATGGAGAAACTGGATGCAAGACGCATGGCACTGTTCAGCAGTATGGCTAATGTGCAAGCATTTCCAAACAAAAACTTTTGTGCGATTGGACAAAATAAAAAAACCCAAATAACTTTGCATGTCATCCTCTCCTACACACAAATCAGTTCATGATAAAGACTGATTTCTAACCTTTCGATCTTTGTAAAGGCTTTCTATTTTTCGAGGCCACTCATCTAATTAATGAGAAGCTTTCCCCACATTGTTTATGTATTTTGGCTAGTATTACATCAGCCGTTTCATGAAAGAAACTGTCGCTTTACTGGCTGATACACTGAGGAAAGTATCGACATACATACTAGTACCTCAAATCCAACTATTAGCGAGTAAATACTTATTGACAAAGGAAACTATTGCTTTAAATTTAAAACCGAACTGTTATACGTGTATTTAAGTGTTTGTCTTGCACGTCCGTTATTCCTGTAAGAGTAACTATTCAATATTAAGTTGTATATATTGTATTGTTGTACTGTATTCTGGACAAACATCATCTCCCTAACTGTTTTATGAATCAATATACGTTTGAACAGATTATTCATATTTGTGGTGCATTGTTGCATCACCTTTTTATAGGAAGGAAGTTTTAAGGTGAACGTAAGCGCGGGAGGTAGTGGGACTGAGATATGATATTGAGATATGGATGCGATAGTGTTTGCTGTATATACACAGTTTTAATCTGCATGATAATGTGCAACACATTACTTGTTTTTATTGTTATTGTTTATATTTATGTTTAATGTACAACCTTTGATTGTGTCCATTTAATACCTTTCAAGATTCACATTTATGTTATATGATCCTATATTTGTTGTGCACATAGAATATACCCGTCTTAGTTTTGTGCGTTCACGACTTTGATAAATATAGGTTAAACGTCTCTTTGTAATCAGTACTGATTGGTTCCATCATTCACCCTGTATTTGATTTCACATATTTTAGATTCCATATTGATATTTGATTTTAAAATTGTATTCCTAAGTACATTATTCTTAATTTCGTTGAAATTACCATTTTTAAGTCATGTTGTTTTTTACTTTATAATGTGTAACTCTTTGTTATTTAACGTTGTTTGTGTAAGTGCTATCAATTTGTGGTGATTTAATAAATATTTGACTACTTTACCCTTGCCATTGTTTGTGTAGGTGCTATCAATTTGTGGTGATTAAATAAATATTTGAATACTTTACCCTAGCCATAGTTTGTGTAAGCGCTATCAATTTGTGGTGATTTAATAAATATTTGAATACTTTACCCTAGCCATTGTTTGTGTAAGCGCTATCAATTTGTGGTGATTAAATAAATATTTGAATACTTTACCCTAGCCATTGTTTGTGTAAGCGCTATCAATTTGTGGTGATTAAATAAATATGTGAATACTTTACCCTAGCCATTATTTGTGTAAGCTCTACCAATTTGTGGTGATTTAATAAATATTTGAATACTTTACCCTAGCCATTGTTTATGTAAGCGCTATCAATTTGTGGTGATTTAATAAATATTTGAATACTTTACCCTAGCCATTGTTTGTGTAAGCGCTATCAATTTGTGGTGATTTAATAAATATTTGAATACTTTACCCTAGCCATTGTTTGTGTAAGCGCTATCAATTTGTGGTGATTTAATAAATATTTGAATACTTTACCCTAGCCATAGTTTGTGTAAGCGCTATCAATTTGTGGTGATTTAATAAATATTTGAATACTTTACCCTAGCCATAGTTTGTGTAAGCGCTATCAATTTGTGGTGATTTAATAAATATTTGAATACTTTACCCTAGCCATTGTTTGTGTAAGTACATAGATTTGAGTGTGTGTTTATATACAGCCATAGCAGTAGTTCAAGAAGTGAGTGAGTAATTGTCGTTCAATGCCGCAGTTGTTTGTGTTTTTAAATAAATATTTGTTTTGTTTAAAGCCGCATTCAGCAATATTCCGGCTATTAATAATGGAGTCGGGGCCAGACATCCTAGTAATTTGATATCATGAGCATCGATCCAATCTGGATACGATGACATGCATCAACCAAGTCAGCGAGCCTGACCATCCGACCCCGTTAGTCGCCTCTTACGACAAGATCTGTTTGTTTGTTGTTTAACGCCGCATCTAGCAATGTTACAGCTATATGACGGCGGTCTGTAGGTAATCGAGTCTGGACCAGACAATCCAGTGATTGAAATCATGCGCATCGATCCACGCAATTGGGATCAATGACATGCATCAACCAAGTCAGCGAGCCTGACCACCCAATCTCTTGAGTCGCCTCTTACGACAAGCATAGTCACCTTTTACGGCAAGCATGGGTTGCTGAAGACATATTCTACCCCGGATTTTCACGGGTCTTAATAAAATAGAATTACGGTTCTGTCTCTGAAATTATATTCAATTTTCATGATATTTACTCATGTGTATCCCAAGTATACAACAATAGTAACTTAAAGAGATGTATAATTGATTGCAATTGACTTGACCTATGAATACGATATTTCCCGTCCTCATTTTATACAATTACAAAGAAACATTTACAAAGGAAGGCTTCTGACAGGTTTCTCACACATTCTGGGAGACTATATGTGAGAGTAAAATAATTAGTTCAGTTGATTAGACATCGTCATATAGAGTTTAACTTAAATATAGTTAAAAACGGTGATAGGTCACGCGCACTTAAGGTCCAATACTATTCACTTCACAATAAACACTACAATGTGTGAAGCCCATTTCTGGTGTCCCCCGCCGTGATATTGCTGGAATATTGCTAAAAGCGGCGTAAAACCATACTCACTCACTCACTCACTCACAATAAACACACATCAAATTTTAATGTAATATGGTATTTTTCGAAATTCGCATATGAACTACTGCCACCCAACAGTGAAGAGTATGGGGTTCTTCATTGTAGACATCGATGAGTGTTCTGTAATTCCCTGTCATAATATTATGAGGGCAGGTAGGTGGATGGTGTCAACTTCTGCACCTGCATTTACGTTGATGGCTACACCGCGGAGGAATGCCAGAGTGGTGTGTTTGGGATAGCATCACGAAATAAATAAGATAAATACTTTATATTTTTAAATACTCGTAACCCTTTAGTCAAACTTGTATAATTATGACTAGCCCTTTCGGGCAAGGTATTCTGACTTGTGTTTCATAAATCGGACACGTTAATTTCTAATTTACATGATATTAAATGATATATAATATGTAATTAGGCCCTAATCCAGAATCGCGTATAAGCCTAGTATTCTTATGTATAATCTATAAAAATGTTTGGGATACTTGGATATTTCCAAAATTGTACGAGATATTAGTATTTAGTAATAATTGAAATTGTTTTGTGTTCATTGAAATTCCTGCATTCTGATCAGCTGAATTGGTCACGTGTTATTGCATTCATTTCCCAAGGAATGTAAAAAATTAAGCCAAGAATTGACGATTCGTACACAGTCAACGTTAGCACAGGCGTTGACGTCCTGAAAGACAAAACGTCAACCCACACGCCTTGCAAAAGGTGGATGTCAGTATGTTGTCCCGATAGTACTGTCCGTCGACCATTCCATGCACAATATATAGTGGGGTTCGGTCAGTCATAATGATGCCACCCACACCATAACCGATCCACCGCCGATTCTGTCATGAGGTCTTAGGTTGACATTAGCCTGACGTTCATTTCGACGTTGCCAGACACGACCACTGCTATCAAGGAAGTGCAGAGTGAATCGTGACCAACGACGATTACCCCAATTCGACATTGTGTACACCACGGATGTCTGTGGGCAATATGACGATTTGTAAGTGGTAACACAACACGTGGCCGTCGAGCATGGATATGAGCTGACCCATACTCCGTACTCCAGTAGTCGGATGAAAGTGTGCAGCAATTTGATTCGCCGTTTGAGCTCGATTTCGTAGAGTCTGGTTTGGGATCAATTGATCCTGTACTCGTGCCGTTTGGCATGGGACGCCCCGAATAGGGTCGAAAGTCAACATTTTGGGTTTGTTGGTACATATTCCATAGTCTGCTCATCACAGACGGTGAAACATTGAACATGGAGGCCACTGCACGCTGACTTCTGCCAGTTTCCGGCATGGCAATAGCCGATAAACGCCCAACACATTGCAGACGCCGCGTCGCTTGTTTGCACACAAACAGTAAATGAAATCAGGTCAATCAAAACTGTATGATAGGCAAAATCAATAAGATTTAAAGAGATTAATCTACTTTCTTTGAAGAGGACAAATTTCAGGAATGACACCCTACCTTGAAATAAATGGCGTCCAGTAAGTTTACTCAACGTTATCTATAAAATCGTATCTGGAGCAGTTGCCTTTATGATAAACATGTTCTCCCAGAAATAATTAGCAAGACACAAACCGGCTCCCTAATTGTCGTTTTATTGGTGAAGACACACGAATATTATACGACATTCTGAATTATTGTGAAGTTCACCTCTACGTCGGTACACTCGAATCCGTCCATCGCTGTGGCTGAGGTGAAAACGAGACTCGTCAGTGAATAGAACTTGTCCCCACTGCATGGGCGTCCAGCGTAGACGCTGTCTGCACCACTGTAGACGTGCTTGACGGTGGTTTCCTGTCAAAATGGGACGTCTGGCGGGTCTTCTGGCGACAATCCCTGTACATCTGAGGCGGCGACGTACGGTTTGTGAAGATATTCGTCGAAGGCCAGGGATGCTTCATGCAGTCACTGTTGCTGGCTGGAATCGATTTCGTAGGTGTCTTGTTCGAATCCAGTTGTCTTGTCGATTATTGGTTACGCGTGGCCTGCCACTCCGAGGATGGCCTCTGACTGTATTCGTCTGTTTCCAACGTTGCCATTAACACAAAATGGTGTTTCTGTGGACGTTAAATTGTCTTGCAACATCACGTTGACTCGATCCTGCTTCAAGCACACCAATGGCTCGCAGACGCTCATTTTCGGACAGGCGTAGCATTTCGTAATGTTGAATAATTGCGTAATTTTGTTGTTTTTCTGAGTGGTTGTTGTCAGCACGATGTTAAACAAAGCATATGGAATCCCGTTAACATACATATTTTATACCCATTCTTGGGTAGTGAAATGCATGGGGTTTGCATAAAAGTCAATTTTTGCATGGAATGCATGCTTTTCTGTAGCAGTTGCGTTTTTGTGGC